CCACATCCGTCGCAGCTGCAGTGGAAAGAAAAGCTTTTCCTCTAAACAACATTTCATTGCATCTCTCCTCACGGCTACAGCAGGAGGGAGTGAGACGCGAGGAGAGGGAAGCGAGACAAAGCCAGAGGAGCACTGCAGGTTTTTACCAGCAGTTAAGATGCTGAGCCAGCAGGAGTCGCCAGTGTAGCAACCTCTGCCGCAGTGATGTGGTTTAAAGAGGCTGCCGGACACTGACACCACCAAGCTGCACTCTGGCCTTCTCAAGTGGGCTTACATCATCCAACACACATGTTGTGCAGCACATGCACACACTAAACCACCACCTCCTCCTCCTGTAAAGTAACATCCTGCACTCAGTCTCAGCCTGCATCACGATGTGTGAAGTGCACACGGTCAGAGATGTAGAAAGCAGACTGTAGCGGTGTTGTCTCTGTGTCCTTAATTCACCATCTGCACCATTGTCACACGTAATTGGCATGAAGGAAGTGTTGTCTAAACAGAATACAAAACAGAATCTACACAGAAATTCCCCCACAGCAGATTCAGATAACTGGCCATCAGCGCTACTCACGATAACTTTGAACTAACCAAAGTAATCGCTGCAGTCAGTCAAGCTGGAAACAACATCAAATCCAGATAATCTCACCTGCATTTTAGAGGTAAAAACAAATGCAAGCTCAACTGAAATGTTGCTGATATTTCCTCATTGCACAATCAAACTGTGCATGACATGCTGCTGGACATGTGAGGGATCGGTTTCAGGAGGTCTGGATCCTGCTGAACATTTTACTCTCCATCATGTTTCAGCTTTGCAGATGAAGTAAACAAGCTACTTTGCACTTGACATCTCTCACACACGTGTGTCATCATTACTAAAGCAGCCATCTTAAAGTAAACAATGTGTTTTTATACAGTTTACAAGCAGTTTTCCATTTTGGGTTTCAATTTGTTTTTGTTTGTTTTTACAAATTAAAATCTTGTCTACACGAGCACAGACATGATGTCCTCGTGCCAATTTATTTAACAGGTTTGCAAACTTTGGAATTACGTGCGGACGACACTTTACAAGCTTAACATCTTACTGACTTTAACCTGAGGCCATAAGCGAGTTTCCAGAAGGCAGCCAGCTGCACTCCTTATCTGCAAAGTCCTGGCTCCAGTCGGAAAGATGGCACCAACCGTAAGCTGCTAAACGGCTCCGGTACAAACTGATGAGTGAAGTCACACCTTGCTGTGTCCAGATCTTGTTTAATGTGTGTAGCTTCTGCAGTTATTTTAGTGAGGATAAGTTTATTACACACAGATGACCAGAGCTATAAAAATTAAACCATAAATATAAGGAATCAAAGCTCATTTTCAGCGTGAGTACAACTGGTTGGGGTTTCCGTAGACCCTTCATATGTGCTTTATTAGATTATCCCCAGTTTTCATGATTTTATGAATCACTTTGGTCCTTATGACTTTATACCACGAGACTGTTTCTTCTTTAAGTAGGGTTTTTTAATCTCCTGACCCCGCCAGTGGGTTTGGAGGGAATGCTATCTTTGCCTAAGTCACCAAATCAACACCATTTATTAACTTTGAAACCCAAAGAACGGTGGTATTTTTTTAAAATTTCCAACTGTCCCTGAACTAATCACGTGTGACATGTGGTAGGAAAATTAACTGAGTCAAGTTTAAATTTGTGACATTTCCTCACAATTCACTTTGTTCAGTTTGTGGTGTTTATAAATTTGCAATCAATTCTGTAACTCAAAAGATTCTGCACTCATCAGCGCAGCTAAGTAGCCATGACTGACTCAGTCATGACTCAAAACAGTGAAGAGAGGAGCAAGTGGTTGTAGGATACATTTAGCATGGTGAAACATCTAATGTAGACTTTGTATAGGCTCTGAAGATGTAAATACTGAAATATCTAGTTTACTATAAATGTAGTATGTAGAGTCACTTTTTGTCAATTTTTTGTAAAGCCTGCAGGATTCCACTTTGTTCTTTTCTTTTTTTGTGCTCCATGACATTCTAACTGTGTCACACTGCACAGAAAACATTTCTGAGTTCCTTCTTCATCTAGTCATGGTTGTGCTGTTCCTATAGTTGTGCAGGACTTCATGCTGCAGTGAAAATGAGCCCACACTGAGGAAAAATGAGGAGCAAAATAAAACAACTAAAAAGCCATGTTTACAAACTGCTTGCAAGATTTTCATTCAACTAAATGAAATTACAACCTTCAACTTTGCTGTGAGCTGAAGGAGGCAACACTGAACTGTCACACATAAAATCAGACATTAAAATGTCAGGTCATATTTAGTCCCATTTAAAAATAACAATGAAAGATTTTTCCGATAAATAGTATCTAAATAGTATCTAAATGGCTAAATCAATAGTTTCTGTTTGCTTCCTCATCTTAAAAACAGCAACTTAATAAATCGATACTAAGCCGCAGTAGGATGTCCTATGATGTACAGAAAAAGACAAAAATACCTGCGGCAACAGGTCGATATACATCCAGCCTCGATTTCTCATTTAGACTAAGGCTAATGAGAGCTTTTCCACTCCTCTCTTCAAATACATCCCTTTGCTACCGGCTCGCTGACTCAGCACTTTGTCGGAACGCATCAGCAGATTGAAGCAAACTGAGCTAATTATTTAGGTTAATTAAGATGATTTGTTTATGACCATGTTTGACTGCTACCCTCACATGAAAATATGAACTGAATTTCTTATCACAACATTGTATATTTTTCATATAATAAGATATAAAGAATAGATTTTTTTAAAAATCTATATCCTAAAATAAAATAAAACTGCAGTTTCTGTAATCACTGTGTAGCAACTTTAGCCAAATTACAGCGGACATGCAGCAGACCTCCACGTAATAGAGTCTGCACAGTGGTTTCTCCCTATGTGATCAAACTGAATGGTCATCAGCATCATAAAGTGCTACAGTCAATGCACTGCATTTGCTAACTTGGTAGAAGAGGGGAAAAGAGCTTAAAGCATTTTGTTCATTTCAAAGCTTTGTGTTTGCCTGGCTGTGTGCGTGTGGAGCATCTATCATTTCCAGGACCAATGTGAGTTGGACAGACTGAGGATATTTTTGGGAAGTGAGGACATTTGGGCATGGCCTCACCTCAGGACACAGCTTCAATGGGCTTTCTGAGGGTTCAGATTTGGAAACGTTTCAGGAGCAGAGCGTTAGTTCTTCAGCAGCCATATTTATAGAATAATAAAACAGTTCTTTGTAGTTTTTCAAAGACATCTTATTGTGTTTTACAGCATAGCAAACACGTTTGTAGCTCGTTTCAGATGCTGCATGGCTGCCAAATGCCAGCACAGCCAATAAACTGGTCCCCATGCACAAAGCATATTTAAAAGTTGAGCTCCTTTTCAGCAAATAATGCAAGTTTCACATGTCCCCACAATGTGTCTCTTCATTTTTTCAGCTTATGACACTGCAAAGATGGTTCATTTTTAACCTGGTTTTAGCCGTGTTCTTAGCATAGTTCACTCTTAAAACCATGCTGCTGTCCACGGCCCCTTAAGGAAGGAAACTGTCCCTGTCTGTGATTAACAACATGGAGAAAACAGATGACCGTAAAGCTGCTGAGACTCCAACCCTCTCCCTGAGTGATGGAAATATTGTCAGTTGTCTTTTATCTCACATGTTTGGTGAGTTTGTGAGACAGTGTTGTGATTATAAAATCAGTATTTCAGCAGAGCAACAGTTTGGACTCTAAGTGACGGCTGGTTAACATGTAGTCTGAATGTGTTTCAGTCACTACTTCACACTTACGTTGTTCTGAGTTTAGCTTGAACTGCAGCACAACAGGCAGGATGAAAACACAGTAACCCAGAGAGTCCTAATTTCCAGTGAAAGCTTCCCCTTTCCTTTAGCTGTGGAAACATTTCTATCAAAATAAAAAGTGGATTTTCTGTTCTCAGGTGCTGGGAGTGCATGAAGACTCCTGTGTTCACGTCTGCAGCCAACAACAGAACATTTATTGGGCTTTTCTCAAGGCTAAGACATTTTAGAGTTCGAGGAAACTGCTCTATAAAGTAAATAAACCTGCTAGACGGTGAGGCAGCTGTTCATTCTGAATGGATCACGTAGTGCTGGATGACTAAAGTCAGGTGTGAGGTAGCACCTGGCTCAAATTCTTACTGGCTTTTAAAGCTGGAAGTTCATCTACCTGTCAGAGGCTTGAGGGATGCTAGAAGTAATGTCTTCATGTCTTAACAGCTTTTACTTTACACCTCCAAGTTTATAACAACCACAAAACATAATGAAAATGGGTTTTCACCATATGGGACATTGCTGAGATGACTGGTCCTCACAACTCCCAAATGCTAGCAAAGCAGGTGACTTTATCGACAGCGCCAAAGTCCCTGATAGATTTCATATCTACAGCCTGTGATGTCACATCTAACCTGTTTGGCTTGGTCAGAATGAAGTCAGAATGTCTGCCTGGTTTGTATGGTTAATTTGTGCTGATGTGAAAGCTGTCAAACACCACCTTCATTGAACACACCACAAACATTTTGATTGATTTATAGTTTTAAAACCTAACTTCATAAAATTGGTGAGGGTAGAAGTACTCACTATAAAGCAAAATGGGCTCCATCAGTGTCCTATTTTTAAATGTGATACAACTGAATTATTATGACTGATGCACTAACATGGAAGCAACATTTAAATATAGTAGCTGTCTCAGGCAGAGATGGTTTTGCTGATGAAATATAAACACTTCCTTGCATTATACATCAATCATTACATCCTGATAGTATTTTAAAGTGTCCATCTGCTGTAACGGTACTACAGCTGGAAGGTAGATGTTGAGGAGTCAAAGCAGAGAGTAGCAAAATTTAAAATATGCATTTAAAATTCAAGTACCTTAGAACTGTTCTTAAGTACAGTACTAAATTCATCTAGTAACACTAAACCAGGGGTTAGAAGTACAAACACATTTGTGCCTGTCCAAGTATGGACAGGGTTGTCTTACCCAGTGACGGTGTGCTTAGAGCCATGACTCCATAGTAGGAGAAGGGACCAGTCTCAAACTTCATGTTTTCGTTTCCAGCTTCCACCTCCACACGTCCCTGCAAAACACACACAGACACAAACACAGGACATTTTGTTTTTTACGTCAAGAAGTATTTTTTAAGCCATTTTAAGGCACAAGTCTCGTTAGCAGTTTATCTATTCATAGCAGACCAAGTCTAGCTGGAAAACATTGCAGTAACAATATAACAAGCATATTGTCCGATGGGTTTATTTGTTTGGTTTTCAAGAAAGAAAGAAAGAAAAAGTATAGATTAAAGATATTTTTTAAATAAAGTTGTAGGGTTCAATCATGAAGTTTAGATTTTGTTTCTCTTGTCCACAAACAGAGCAATCATGCCAATGCAGCAGGTGAGAGCAGTAAGCCTCGTGGGTCAGATTTCACACGATGAAGGTCAGAATTAACGCCTGTGTTTCACACATATTTTGGCCACTTGCATGTGCACATTTGTGATTTTACCAAGGATCTACGGAAGAACTCTGTGAGGTTTTTCTATCAATAGGCCTGGGATGAAACAATCTTCACATCAGGGATCATCACTGGTAAAGAGAGGTGTCTGTGGCTACCACCCAGAGACCAAACAGCAGTTTTCACAGTGGAACAGTTGCAAGACCAAAGACGGTACATCAGGTTAGGAGGACCAGGAGCAGTGTGGCACAATGGTGAGTGTCAGCTTGTTTGTGAAATCACGTCGCAGATTTTTGGCCACACAAACTCAACCGTTGCTTTCTCATGGCGGATGATGCTTGGCATGTTAACAGAACAGGACTTCCAGGGAGCGGTACAAGTGTTGCAGGAGCTGTGTGAGCAGAGTATCACTGCACAAGGGGATAATGGCCAAATTTTAATCTGGTATGGTTTTGATTTTTAGAGGCGAACTCTTTAAATTTTTTGATCCCATCTTGTATTTCTTAACTCAAATATACAACTTTAAGCTTCATGTTCGAGAAACGTTGGTGCCAAAGATGCACAGTACGCTTACAAACAATAAATATATTGTATTCACAGCAGCAGCAGATACAACAATCCTGAAGGTCTTGATTCAGAGCTGAAAGTGGAGTCACCTAATGTACTGTACTAATATAAATAAAGTTTATACTTGGCTTGCATTCTGTTATCTACGTCAGAGCTTTATGCTGTTCTATAACTGCACAGGATAACACTGTGATGAGGTTAATCAACTGTGCAGATGTACTCACATATCAAACCAGGACCTGATGAACACATAGATTCCATTAATGGTTTAAAACTAACTTATGAAACCTTTGTTTTTGTGGCCAGCTCTTTGCTCTCGACCGGTTCTACTGTTGTTTGGATTATTGTGATATCAATCCACATTTTTTGGTTATTATAAACAAAATAAAAGGTCTCAAACATCATAATGTGGATGTTGTCTTTTGTGACAATTAATGGCCACATTTCAACAGTGTTTTTAATTGTTTTTAAATCCACCTACTTGACATGGTCTTTGGTACATTGAAGAGCCCATTCTGTGGGGTGGTCAGCCTTTACACTCCCACCCTGCTATTCCTTTCTGCTCCCTGAACATCTTTCCCTCCCATCCTTCATTATTTTGTCCAGGATTGAAAAACTAAACATCTAAATGTTTCCAGGCTTTCCAAGACTCTTGTGAACTCTATGATTATTATCTGACAGTGGTCGTGACACTCAAGTGTCTGAGTTAGTTTGGAGGCTCTGCTGTGCAAAATCCAGGAGTCGTGTCCTGTGGCAGGTAACACAAACACTTTGACATCCTATAAATATTACATCCAGTGCAGGGTTCAGTGTCTCTTTACCTAACACACCCACACATACATGTCTGCTCTGCCATCTCTCTGAGGACTCCCATTAACATAATCCGTTCGCCTTAAACATCGCGACTACAAGCCTAACCCCTGAACCTGATTCTAATCTGAACGCTGAAGCCAAGTCTTAACCCTCAACCAGCTCTTTGAAAGTCTGTCTCCAAGTGAGAACCACACTCCATGTCCCAATGTACAGCTCAAACTGGACCTCACAATGATAGACATACATGTGCAACCACACACACATATATATGTAGCTGAGGTGTGGAACAGGAGCAGCTGGGCTCAGGTTGCAGGCTGAGTGTCTGCAGTCACTTTATCCACACCTCAGGTGTCAACAACAAAGCCTCCAAACACAAGCACAAGCACACACTTTCAAACACATCTCAGCACAGCAGCCGCAGCATGTGTATTTGTTAAATGTCTGCATTCTGCTTTTAAAAGTGGAGCTTAAAGGTCAAGTGTTAGCTTTAGGGCTGTGAGGAGCAACTATTATAATCAGGTCCTTCTAATGTGTTTGTTTCACTCTGAACTTAATGTTACTTAAACCTTGTAGTCATATAAATGCCAACATTACCAGAATCCATATATTTTGTCTTTAGGGTTTTCTACTATGATGTACTACCATTTGGATAAAGAATGTTTCCACCACATCTGGCTCATTATTTTAACAATTATCCATTTTTCCTTACAGGTGTCTTCATGATTTATCCATCATTACCTTTTTTTTTTTTTTTTTTTTTAAATCTATTATTATTATTATATCTATTGCAACCATTTTCCTCTTACCATTCATTGAGCTATCTTTTAGACAACATTTAGGCAACTATTTCAACCATTTATCAAACATTTAGCTAACTAAACAAACTGTTAATCTAACTTTTGGATAAATATCTAAACCATTTATTATCCAACTTTTAACTAACTAGTTAAAGCATTGGCTATCCACAACCATTTATCTGTTACTGAGCTAAATGTCTGGGCTTTTTTTTGTCCACCACAGTTCCGGCTCTCTAAAAGCAGCTTTTTGTTTTTGTTTTATTTTTTAAAAATCAGCTCGTAATTTCTTTTTATGTCTTTCTGTTTTATCCGTTGAATTTCTAGGGTCCCATTGGAAACTGTAAGTGGTTGTGAACCACTGCAGCAGGGTTTTTTAATATATAATGCACTTAAATATATAATTGACACCCATATACTGTGTGTGTGTGTGTGTGTTAGTGTGTGTGTGGTGAATATTTCCATCCCGTCAGTTCGCCTCTTCTTGGTGCAGAGGAGGGATTTACCAGCAGACGGTGAATCCTCTTCTCTTTCCCTCCTTCTCTACATTCATCCTTAAACTCCTCTCTGCTGTTTATTTCACACTCCATATGCTCTGCTGATTTTCGCTCACTGTGTGTTCTCATCTGCTTTTCCTCTGTTCCATCCTCCTTAACCCTTCAATCCCCTCTCTCCCTCCATTTGTCTCCATCTTACATAAGAGGATCTATTAGTGAAGGTCGTGCAGAGCCAGGAGCCCCTCCGACACACCCGTGATCCCCACGGGGACTGTTTCGATGCCTGGAAGAGGAGATCTATATTATAATAATGGATTGTAAGCAACTATGCTGGACTACGGGTTTGATGAATCATTTATAAGGATGTTTTATTTGCAGCTTTGTTGTGCTGAATGCTCGAGACATTCAGAACAATACAGCCTTAAAGATTTCAGAATTTACACTGGAATTAGCTCAAACAAAGAGCTTTTCAATTAATTAGTTGATGGACAAAAACATTATCTACACCTATTTTGATAATGGCTTAACCATTTAAGACATTCTCAGAGGAAAAATACAAATATTACCTACTTTCAGCTACTCTGTGAAGATGTCCAGCTTCTATTTATATGACAGTAAACTAAATATCTGGGTTTTTGAGCTGAAGGGGGGGGGGGGGAAACAACAAGACTTTTGAAGAAACTAACAATTGTAAACTGATATTTTAACCAATTTGATTGTTGGTTGCAGCCACAAATTGAATAATAAAAATAATTTATTTGACAAAGCATATTCTTTTTTGATTTTTATTACTTTCTATTATTATTTGTATTCTAATAATTCATATCCAAACCAGTTGGCCGATTGTCATTAAGGTCAGTTTCCACAAGAAAGCCACAAAACAAGCAGAAAACATCATATAATTAGTGATAACAGCTCCTCATGTCGAAAGATTTGCTGCTCTTCATGTTTTTACAACACTGTGAGACTTCACAATCTTTACAAAAAAGATTCCTCATTAATGAAAATTATTATTTGTTGCTCCAAAGTAGCTTTAAAAAAGCAGAAAAAAACAATATTAAAAAAAAAAATTCTCTACTGTTAGTTTGCACCCAGTCAGTCATGGTTAATGTAAGATATAAAAACTAATTTAAAGTCTCAGTTTGTGTAATTAAAGGCCGATATCTGTCTGACAGCCATGTATAAAATTAAATCAAAGAACAAAAGGTGAAGATCCTCTGTGTGTTTTTTTTCCCCCAACAACTTCCTCTTACCTTAAGCAAGGTGTCTTAAGAGTTCACTGTGTTCAGCGCCTGCATGTGTGCTAATACCCTGTCCAGACTGACGCAGGGACCCGAGATAAACCTGTTTGTCACCAGATAAAACAGATCCACCTGTGTTATCCAATCTGACTTCATTATGAACATCCAGTGCTGCTCAGCTTCGACATCAAAGTGGATTCTTCACAAACAGTGTTTTATTGGTACTTGACTGACTCAGTGAGATTAAAGGAGGGACATCCAACAACACTTACTAATACTATATGTTGAATAATTACAACTTATGTCAATTTAGTGCAGTTGGTTTTATTTTAGCCAAAACCCAAAAAGAATGAAGCCAAATGCAAAAGGGTTGGCAGGATAAAACATGCCCAGCAGTTTAGCATTTATTAGTGAGACTCCAGTCTTATGCTGTCAAATGTTTTGCACGTGTCTGCCTTTATTTGTGATGATTAGATCCTGCTGTACACAGACACAACTCACATTTTTTCAGCTGCTGTGTTGGAGGGGATTTATTGCTACTGTCTACTAACCATTTAATCCATGATTTTAGCTTCTTTACTAACAATTTATTTACAGCTTGTTCCCCATCTGTTTCAAACTCATTTACCTCATATATGATGTTTTTTATGAAACTCTAATTGACTTCATGTGTTGAACAGCAGGCCACTTCAGTGACATTAACAGTTCATCAGTGTTTGTGTTTTACCTGCAGGATGAGTGCGAAGTAGTCAACAGGTTTGCCCCTCTGGTAGAGGAAGTGCTGCGGTGAGCGTTTGTCGTTTTCGTTGAACTTGAGCTCCTGGATGACGTCTGGGTGTCTGAGGATCCTCAGGAGGACTTTCTCTGTGATCTGGAACGGGCTGAACAGGCTCACCTCTGAGGAGAGCATCAGAAGACCACCAGTGAAACACAAGCTAATTATGTCAGTCATTGATCCAACATTTAGCTAAATAGTTCAACCATGTATCCGACATCTAGCTCACTATTTCAACCAAGAAATATCAGCCAAAAAACTGATTGGCTTCTTCTTATAGCTGAACACATGATCCCACAGTTTGTGTATGTTGTAACACACACCATAAATCTAGAGACTTTTATTTTCATATGACAAACTGTAAGACCTGCGAGTCCACACTGACTTCAGGCTTCAGTTGGACCGTAAACATTATTTTTGTAAATAATAGCCTTTATTCTTTTTACATTTTATATATTCTGCAAATATGTTGAATGGTGCAAAATTAAGAAATTTGTTCACTACAAAAGTACAAAAAAATCTACAGAATTATTAGTTATTAGTAGGTAATGTTAAATAGTATGATAGTATAATACAATTATTTTTAATTGAACCATAAAATCCACAAAAAATATGAATTTTATTTATTATTTGTTTTTTCTATTGATTACATTTTTTTGTGTGTTTTGATTCTTATTGGAAAATTGGACTTAAAGGTGCAATGGGTTTATATTGACTGTTCTAATGCCAAAATTCCAAATATTTCAATTTCTCAGTTTTGTGGATTTGCTGCTCTTTTGTGTTAAGTGACATCAAACTCAATATCTTTAAATTTGTCATTGCTAGACTTCAGAAGAAAAAATAAATAAATAAATTTTTGGACATTTTATAAACATTAAACAATCAGCGGATTCATCAATAAATGAAATAACAGGTACTTGTAGCCCTGTTTATTTGCATATACACCAAGACACATGCTTTTTATTTTTATTTTTTTTTATATTTATTGGCTTTTATTTTACCAGGTAAAAACGTTTGAGAACTAGTTCTCATTTGCAAACAGGACCTGGATTGTAACTGATAAAAACTACACGTAACATTGACCCAGTCTTAATGAAGAGAAACAGTCTGCTGAAGGACTCAGAACCAAATCTGTGTCACCTCGTTGTCAGATTATCCAACACCAGTGCCGCCTCCTCAGAACTCACCTGTAGCCAAGAACCGATGAGCGGCCAGCATGAGCTGAGGAGAGATCTTCACTTTACTGTCGGCATCGTGCTTGAAGGCGGAGAAGTCTCGCTTGTTTTTGTTGGGGTCCACCTTCTTCCTGTTTCTGTTGTCGGCTGCAGAGAGAAGACAGCAGTGTTCAAATATCAGTAAAAGTTTTTAACAATTATTTTACTTTTTAAAATGTAAAGTGATGCTTTGCTCACTTGGCACACAGTGGATTTAATGACAGAAGATAGTGAGACAACCTGTTTGTTCCATAAGGTGACCTCTTGGATTCCATCACAATTTCATTCAAATGCTTCAATATTTTCAGAAATGTGGCAGCACATAGGAGCAGCTTGAGGTTTAGAAATACCAATAACTTGCTTCACTCAATTGTAGAGCTGCCACGGTATCAAGTTTCCACTATACAATCATCACGGTCAAAAGAATTTCCACTAATGATATTGAAATATCTACAGAAAACTGTTGTATATCAGTTAAAATCATCTTGTTTGTTGTTTGTGTGTCTTTTTTTTTTTTGGTAAATGATTTCCACTCAAAACACAAGTGTAAGAGATGGAGAGAGTCTGTAAACGTCCTGTATGATGCTCCTCTGTTGGGGTGTCAATCAAATTGTTAGTGGTGCTGGATCATTATGACATTGTCATATGTAGAAATGACACAATACAAACATTTCACTTTTTAAATATCATCAGTAGAGTACACAACATCCCTGCTTTGTTACATATTAACCTTCTGAACCCCAAAACCTGTTGGCGGGTTTCTATTTTTTCTAACTCACCATTTGTGTGTCATTCTTTGAGAAAACGTAACTCCTTGGTGCAGCAATGACCCTGTTTCCACAGAGATGTGGGACTTTATATTACAGTGAAAAATGAGCCCACAGTGAGGACAAATGTGGAGGGAGGAAAAAACACCCAGAAACCACTCCGGGTTCAGAGACTTCGTGGTAAACCCAGGGCTCTGTCCGTGGTGCTGAAATAGCAAACGTCATTTGAATCCACATTTCTCTTCATTCTGTCCTCCTGCCTTCATAAGTTTCTCTTTGTTTTGCATCTCCATAGAGTCTGTACGAGGTTGTATAAAGGTCTGCTGCAATGAGCCCTCAGCTCCATGTCTGACTGTCTGTCCAGAGCGTATTTTTTCGACAACACAAAAACATGTCCAGGCTGCGCTCCTATAGCACCTCGGAAAACCCTGATGTTTGAGCAGTTTCCTGCAACTTAGTTGTTTATTAATTTCGTTTAAAAAGCAAATATACATGAAAATAAAAACTACTTACAGAGCAAGTTTGTGGCCTATTCTGAACTAATGTATATGAACATGGCAGCTGTGGTCAGAATTACATGTTTTGCAAGCATTATAATATGATCTGGTGCCATGTGAGCTGCTAAATAAAGCTTGAAGAGCTGCAAGTAAACATGTCAATTTAGTGTCTGTTGACTGACTAGCGAGTGTAGATGTCCCCAGAAGCTGTACCTCAGTACTTTGGTACCAAGGCAATGCCAAAACCCTGAAGATGTGATGCGACTTGTGTTTCTATGGTTCTGTAGGCAGTAAGATGCTGCAGGTTATGGAGATACTGAACAATAACAACAACAGCAACATGATGGTTAGTCAACGATGAGGGACGAATCACAGACGACCAAAATCCACAATTCAAAAAGCATCACAGAGCAAAAGAGTGAAAACAGCTCAAACTGATCTAAGCTGCTCAAACATCCAAATGTGAACACAGAATTCAAGCTGGGCCAGTTTGCTGACATGTTGTTATCGTGTCCACATGCAGAAATGTTGATGTTTGTTGCATCTGTTGTAGTAATGCTTCACACATAAGCTCATTCAGTCTGACGCGGTGAAAGGTCAAAATGTGAGCCGGCTGCTGCTCCGAATGTTGCAGCTACCGTCATCGCTGCTCAGCCTGTCAAGCTTTTAAATATGCTGGAATGGATTAGTCTCAAGAATCTTTATTACTGCTGAGACTTTTAGGTACTGTGATGTCCATACTGACAACTTGGTGACAACAAGACTCCGGGAAATGACTGGAGTTAAGAAAAAGACCGGCACAATCACAACTTGCTGTTTTTACAGTTCAGATTAAATAAAGGAGGTATGGTATTTTAATGAGAGGGCTTTAAGGCTTCGTTATACTCCCTAGCAGGGACACACAGACAGCTGCAGACACCATGGAGTTGTTTAATACTTCACCTACGATACAAGCATAGAGATTTAGAGCAGATACTAGAACTGGAGGGTCATTGTCATGTTATTATAGTCAAGTAAAGTAGTATTTTATAGCATCATTGTAGGCTTTTAATCCCTAATGTGTAAATTACTCAAGCAAAATGAAACTCTAGGGCTTCAGCCTCGATGTTTAAACTTGTTATGTTGTTTCATACCATCAATCATATTCTTTTTAACTGGAAATTACTTTTCTTCAACAGCTGTTGTTTTAAATGTTCTATATCAAAAACGGTGACTTGACTTGACAGACATGCGAGCAGCATCAGTCTTCAAATCTAAAAGACAATTCACACTCTGTGGTTATCCACATACGACCCAAAACTTCTGAGCACAGACTGTCCACACTGTAATCATCAGGAAAACACATGGTGCTCAAAACAACAAATGCTTGTTTAGAGGAGAGGCTGAATATGGAGATTCTCAGTCATCGACTTCTTTAGAATTCATCATAAACAGAGTTATAACTGAAGTATTGGCTTATTTCATGTACATGCATTCCATTGACTGCAGCCAGAAGTTCTGAATTCTCCAGAAATCCTTTGCTCTGTTCACTCACTGTGCTCGACACACCTCACGAACAATCACTGACATGGTGACTCAGCCCAACCTATATCTAACTGCTATATAATGTTAAAAAAAAAAAAAAAGCAAAGTCACAGCCTTTCAGAAACATCTACAAGGGCCCCGAGGGTTTTCCTGTGTTCTAATCACATGCATATCATTCATGCAAAAACCATGTTTTGGCCGTAACTCTCAACAAGAAAACAAATCCCTGTGAGAGCTCCATGAAATCAGACCAAGGTTTTGAAGGTCACCATTTTCTCAACACCAGCCATCCAGTGTGTTTACATCCAATGATGGTAGAATTTTTTTTTAAAGATTATTTTTCTGGCCTTTTGTTTTTAGCTAGGACAGTGAGAGAGTGAGACAGGAAAGGGGGGAGAAGAGGGGGAGGACCTGCAGCAAACTGTCATGAGCAGGAGTCAAACTCACAGCCGCTGCATCGGGGACTACAGCCCCTGTTCATGGGTCGCCTGCTCAACTAGGTGAGCTACAGGGGCGCATGATGGCAGAATTGACTGTTTACAGAGTCTGACACTTCTGCAGGATTTCAGTTGCATTCACAAACAGCAGGGAAGCGATGCTGCATGTAATCCAGCCCGTTTGTAATTTTATCTCAGTGACATCAGCCTCGATGTTTACTGCACACTCGCATCCAGCTGCTGCTGCTGAGTCAGACGACTTGTTCTACAGCGCAGCAGGGACCATGTCACTGCCCGACGTGAGTCGCCGCCAGATGAGAGTCACAGATGTTTGTGGTAAAATGGCACATGTGTGACTCTCATCAGGTAGAAGTCTTTAGAGTTCATCCACAGAACTGACATCACATTGCTTCTCTGCTCTTTAGTTCAGCTCAACAACACATTCAACTGGTAACTGAAACTGTTGATTACTACTGTGGAAAATAAACGTTTTGGACTTGAACTTTTTTTGTGCAATTTGCCATTATTTTAAATGTTTTTTTCCTATTTTGTTAAATTAGATAATATCTAGTGAAATCACAAAAAAGCTACATTTATTTACAAGTTGACTAAAAAAAAAAGGCAAAACTGTTCATAATGTGTCCATCAAAAATCTGTATTTTGTTTTTACAAATACAACATAAAGCAGCTAAAACATCATATTGCAAAGATTTTCAGAGTTTTTAAATGTTTCAGTTCAGCCTTGCTGCCATATTTTAACATTAACACTTTAAAGACAGCAGAAGTTGTAATTCTGATTCATGCAGTGTTCCTCTAGATCCCCAATAAGATCATTAAAAGCATGACCACCACAGACTGTGAGAAGGTGGTTCCCTGTTTTTATATAATCCAGTACAAATGATGGAATTTACGAGGCATAAATCGTGTACGCTCACAAACAGGCAGCGACTTTCATAAAAGTAGAAATAACGATAAAAATCATACAAAAACGATGCTTCTCATAGCTGCAGAACTCGACTGAGAATTGTGAGGTTTTGACTTATTTGTTCTTTTCAGTATCACAGAAACCCACAGATGTTTGTGTGTATAGCCATGAGTACACTGCAAACAGGAGCTGCTCATAGCAAACTCAGCCAACTGATAATAGTGGCAAACAGCTACAGAGCAAAACTAAGTAACCAGAGTGATACGTCTGGCCTTTACTGCATGCTATTTAAATGCAAACAGAGGAAAAACATTTAGATTTGAATGTGTATCCAAATGTAAGTTACCACTGGAGTGTTTCTTGCTACTTTTGGCTTTTATTTCACACTATTTCTATGCAGTGATTGTTCGGATTTTTAATGGTCGCTGTAGGTCGGTGGTTGGTGCAGCTGTGTTTGTTTTGTTTGACAGGAGGCCGTAGTGTTGAGAAGCGGTGGGTTTAACCGTGTGTGTGGGTGTTTTTGTGTCAGGATGACATCTGTATCTGTGCCACAGCTGGAAACCGGCAAATGCTGACTCACTGTAGAGGTCGGACTCGTCCAGGATCTCTGACTTGATGATCTCCTCGATGACGTCCTCTAAGGTGACCAATCCCAGCACCTCGTAGAAAGGATCCCCCTCCCCCTCGTTGTTCACCTTCTGGACGATGGCCAAGTGGGATTTACCTGGTAAAGACACAGATCGTCTGAAGGTTACAAGAACAGTACGGCTGAGTATCAGTATGACAAAGATATTCATCTTAGACTCCAGAAATCAGCTGTCAGTAAAGTAGGGCAGCATCAAACAAGGGGAGGGGGAGAAGTTTGAGAGTTTCACTGTAGCTGCTGCCTCTTCAACTTCAGCAGCTGGCCTTCAAACAGATTTAGATCCTGCTAGATGAAACAGCCTTTCTTGTTATTGTGTTTTCAAACAGTCACGCTGCCGTTCGATCTGTCAGTGGGTTTATCTCGGCTGCTGGGAGGCCAGACTGATGCCTCAATATAGCCCAGAGTAGACTAAGAGCTTTGGAGAGAAGAGAGTTGGAGGAACTGCCAAAATGAGATAAAGATGAGGAGGAGGAGGAGGAGGAGGAGGAGGAGGAGGAAGAGAGGTAGGAACAGCATTAATCCACTCCTGGCTCCGCTCTCCAGACTCTGCTCATGTGTGCGTGCAGGTCTGGCTGTGGGTAACAAGTAAACCTGACACAACGCGACTGCGGCCGTGAGCAGTGATGGCTGCCAGCGAGAGGTGAGCGAGAGAACATTATCAGGTCAACAGGAGTGAGGCTGCCAGGACAGAAACCTGTCGCAGCTCATGGACATCAAACACCAGCAGCAGCAGCAGCAGCAGCAGCTATTTTTGGCCACTGCTGCCACGTTTGAATGTGCACAAAGTGACAACAAAGGCGGTTTTCAGGCTAAAAAGAGACATCACTAATTCATGTGTCAGTTAATGAATCATCTGCTAAACTGGTGACCGCTTCACCCTCTGAACCCCAAAACACACTATTTTTGTCTAATTTGGACAAGGTTTGAGTTGTTCAGATCGCAAAAACATCAGAGTAATTTCAGGTGAACTGCAGGCAGTGTTTCCACAGAGCAGAGAGGAGACGACGAGGAACATAAAACATACTGGATCAATAAAATAAATGCAGCATGACTCGGAAAAGTACAGAGGAGCAGGCTGTTGGAAGATACATTCAGCATGGTGAAACGTCTTTCTAGTGCAGATGTGAAGAGAAAAAAGGTTTGTACAGGTTGTAAACGTGTAAATAGTAAAATATCTATAGTCTGTGTCCTCCGTTTTTTTAGTATTGATATCACATGTGGAAACTTGAAAATGCTGAACATGTTGACTACAGGCTTTTTAGTTATTGTAAAAGTAAAAATTAATTTTAAAAAATCACAAAATTCAACTCCTAATTTATTTTTTCCAATGATTTATGGCATTGTAATGGCTCATACTTGACAGTAGATATTTCTGAGTTGTTATACTTCTAGCACTGGTTTCCACTGAGGGGCAGGACTTTATGTTGCAGTAAAGAATGAGCCAGCAGTGAGGAAAAATATGACTTGAGCAAAAAAATATCTAGTAACTGCTTGGAGTTCAGAGGGTTAAATTTAAATACTGTACTGCAGAGAAGGTGGAAATGCCCTCCCAGCCTCCAGCAAGGAAACTGTGTGCATCCTGAGAGGCAAAACACCAACATTGTTCTGAAGGCCTCTCTCTTGGAAAGTCAGCAGGCATTGTTCCCCCCCTCGAGAGATTTCAGTAAAAAAGAAATAATCAAAAAGCTGTATTAGTCTAAATCCGCCTCCTGTGTGAGTCATTCTGCTCCATAACATCAGCCTGTGAGCTGCACTGTCATAACCAAACACAGCGTACAGTCCCAGCAGTGCTGTAGCCAGCGGCGCCGGACATGCTGACTCACGCCTCAAAAAGCAAACATCATCATCATCATCATGAGTCGCTGTCCATCCCCAGCTCCCCTCTGCAGGGAGGTCAGAGGTCGTGGTCAGCCAGCCTGCAGCAGAGCTTTAGTTTTCGAAAGTAGATCATCTAAGATGTTGCTCTGTTTAATGAAAAATGGGTATTCTGGTAAACAAAAGTCAGATTTTTAAACTCAACATCAGCTCCATTACTCTGTTGTGAGGCAGGCACGTACAGGTTTTTTTGTTGATAAGACACTTTATTCAGCATTATTCAGCCTGTGTGCAGGACTGAGGCTTGGATTCTATAAAAAGCCACAGCTGCAGGTGACAGCTGAGACTCCACTTATTCTGTAGTAGCTTATTTTGGGGCCGGATTTAGTGGTTAAAATGAGGCTCACGCAGCCAGTTCCACACGTCTGCACAACACAGCTTTAAATATCTGATAGTAAATAACCACCATGCATGTTTAGGCCGTCTGGAAAACAAGCATCTGATGCCATCATCACCAAAATAAGCAACAGCTCCAACACCGTTGTGACGCTAGTGTGGCTTTATCAGGGCAAGAAACTGAAAACAAGTTGGATTTTCTACTTTCTGGCAGTTCTTGACTAATAATGTGTGGCACATAGTTTAGTCAGGAAAATGAACCAGATCTAAGCTTTGTGATACTGTGACCCATCCATCCATTATCTATACACCACGTAATCCTCACTAGGGTCACAGGGGGCTGGAGCCCATCTCAGCTGACTTAGGGTGAAGGCAGGGGACACCCTGGACAGGTCACCAGTCTATCACACTTAGAGACAGACAACCAAGCACACTCACATTCACACCTACGGACAATTTAGAATCAACAATTAACCTCAGCATGTTTTTGGATTTTGTAGGAGGTAGCCGGAGATCCCAGAAAGAACCCACTGTGCACGGGGAGAACATGCAATTTACACGCAGAAAGAGATCCGGTGTCCTAACTGGGACACAAACGGGGACCTTCTAGCTTCGAGGCGACAGTGCTGACCACTGAGCCACCTTGCATCCCATGATGCTGTGATGAAATTGTGATATTTTATCAAAATCACTTTGCTTTACATGTCTCATTTAAAAATTGATCAAAACCAACAGTTTGGACAAAACAGATCATGAAAAAAACAAAACATTTCAGTAATGACTCAATCAGCTGGGACCAACAGCCACATGACAAAACAATTCAGGTGAACTGCCGGCTGTACAAAGCAGAGAGGAGATGAATATAAAAACTCACTCAAATATAAATACTAGTTTAAATGATTTTGGACAGATTTAGATTGGTGCTACAGTGTCCTTGTCTGCATAACACAGCTTTATGAATCTGATATTAGAGCAGCAGTGTGCATGTTTATGACTCCTGAGAAACGAGCCTCTGATACCATCATCACCACAATAAGCTGCAGCTCTGACACTGTTGTGATATTAGCGTGGCTTTCAAGGTGTGGATGTCAGCGCACAGATTTCCTACACTAATCCTGTGCGCCTGAATGTGCAGATTATTTTTTTTTTTATCCTATCAGCTGATTTCAGTGATTAGTTGCTGCTCTCTGACTGCAGGTGATCAGCAGTGAACTCCAGAGGCTTGACAGGGGAGTAAAACCCGGCAGCCAGATTATCTCTGACATGGCCACTGAATACAATATCATGTAGGGTAGAGGGCCGAGGACATGAAACTGTACATCCACATACACTAGCTTTTTTTTGTCTGAGTTTAAATAACTGTGACAGTGACATTTTCCCCCATCATGCATTGCAAATATATTTATCAATCATCTTATAGAAATATCAAAAACCCCCAGTAACAGCTTCTTAGCCCTCTGATCTTAAAGCCATTTCTGGGCATGTTTTGCTCCTCATTGTTAGCTCTTTTTCACTGCAATAGAAAGTTTTATGTCTTTGGTGCAGCATGACAGAGTTAAAATGCCATAAATAATAATTTAAAAAACTAAATTAAAGTGGAAATCCTTTAAATATTTATCGTACAAAAATTGAAAAATGTTTGAACCAGCATGTCCATCAGTTTGCCACGTGTCCACACAATAAGGACTGACAACATTTTTAATTTTTTTTGCAAAGTCTGGTTCAGGAAAACAGTTTATTTTGAGCAAATGTTTAACTGAGACATGTAGAATATAGCAACTTTAATAAAACTTCCTAATTTTAACCCTAGATTTGATCATTTTCACAATTCAAATCACAGCTTATCCTTTTATTTTTTGTTATTGGAAAGTAGAAATTCTGATGATTTTGTCTGTTGTTACGGTTTCTGATTCTTATAAATGTATAAAATTGTTTTTTTTTTTTTTAAGGATAACATACCTTTCACACTCTGTGGCAGGTTTTGGGCTTGAGTAGTTTACAGTCCCATGATGAAGCTGTTGTGTGCTGCATGTTTCATTGCATTAATAATTTCACATTGTTGAACAGGTGCTGTGGGAAGTTTTCACAGTTCTGTATTTAAGGAAAACATCTATAGTTTGCACTTGTGGAAAAACATGTTTAACAGTATTGTTACTGAGCAGCAGAGGCGGCTGGTAAACGCTGTAAATCAGCGCTGCGGTGTGCACCTCCACTGAAATGTCAAATATTTTAATGATTTTAGAATCTCAAATGAGAAGAGTTGCAGCTTTCCTTTGGCATGTGTCACAGTAGGATGAATGTTTGGGGTGTTTTGGAGAAGACCTTTGAGGATGTAACCTTCAGCTCTGCAACTTTTGATGTTTTATCAAACCATTTAAATAAAAAAATGGAAGCGATCACGAGCTGCAGCCCTAACTTTGATCTCAGACAGAGATGTGGATATAGAGCTTACATTTCCCTTGTCAGGTATCAGTGAAGTTTATCTTTATTAAACATTTATAGTTTTGCACTTATGCAAAAACATATTTTACAGCATTATTACTGAGCAGCAGAAAAGGCTGATAATTATTGCAAATCAGTTCTGCTCTGTGCACCTCCAATGAAATGTCAAACATTTCCCAGATTTAAGAATTTCAAATGGGGAGATGTGCAGCTTTTCTTTGTCATCACTGTAAAGTGAATATTTGGGGAATCTGGGGACATTAACTCTGATATCAGACTGAGAAATGTGGATTTAACTGATCTACAAAAATTTGCAGGTGTTCTGGGAAACGATCATTTCAGTCATTTTCCACACAAAAGTGGTGAAAATATGTCAAATCCTTGCAGATTTCAGCATCTCAAACAAGAGGTGTGCAGCTTTAGAGCAGCTTTTTTGGTTAAGCAATGTGCACGAGTTGCCACCTTCTGTCGGTCATGTAGAAATAAACTTTACTCATCCCTCACGGAGGACATTCAAACATTTTAGCTCTGAAGTTCCTCAGTGTGAGATGAAAGTCAGCACTGCAGCTAATGGTTGCTTTCATGGTGTTTTTCATCAGGATGAACTGAGCTTCTGTTCTCTTTGTGAGCTGAAAACTAGGCTGGGATGTTCCACTCATCGATACCCTGATCGATGCAGCCAGAGGGAGGGAGGAGCTGATGGCCGCAGGTTTTACGCACCTTTCTTGAACTCCTCCAGCATGGCGTCCAGCTTCGTGTCGTGGAACACGAAGTGCACCGGGTGGTTGTAGAACTTGGTGATGGTCTTCAGGGTGGTGCAGTCGTCCGGGTCCACGAAGGCCAGGTCCTTCACGTACAGGATGTCCACGATGTTGGAGCGCTCGTCGTCGTACACCGGGATCCTGGTGTACCCGCTCTCCATGATCTCAGACATGGTGTTGAAGTCCAGCACCGCGTCCGCCTGGATCATGAAGCAGTTGGCCAGCGGGGTCATCACGTCCTCCACGGTCTTAGTGCGCAGCTCCAGCGCGCCCTGGATCATGTTGAGCTCCTCTTTGACCAGGTCGTTGTAGGGCTCCGTCACTTTCAGCATCTCCACCAGCTTCTCCCGGTTGTACACGGTGCCGATCTCCTGACCCAGCAGCACGTCCAGCAGCTTGCTGACGGGGAAAGACAGCGGGAAGGTGAGAAGCATGAAGAACTTTGTGAGCACGATGGTGTTGGCTCCCACGGCCAGTCCGTGGCGGGAGCACAGCGCCTGCGGGACGATCTCCCCGAAGATGACGATGCCGATGGTGGAGGCCACCACTGCGCCCAGCCCCGAGCCGATCAGGTCGTCCAGCAGGATGGTGAGGGTGGTGTTGACCAGCACGTTCCCCAGGAGCAGGGAGCACAGCAGGTAGTTCCCCTTGCTGCGGATCGGTTCGATCTTTCGTGCGTATTTCTTCTCCTTGTCGGTGCCGCAGCTCTGCACGATGCGCAGCTCCATGGGGTCCAGCGCCATGAGCCCCAGGTTGAGGCCGCTGAACATGCCGGAGAGCACCAGCAGGCAGGAGATGAGGATCGCCTGCAGCCACATGGGCAGCAGCGACTTCTTCTCCTCCAGCACCAGCAGCCTGCCATCGCTGTCCCCCAGCAGCACCCACCTGCCCCCGGCCGCGCTCAGGGTGCACACCGCGTACTCCTTCTGCGGCTCGCTCTTGCGCAGCGGCTTAATGTGCACGCTGAGAAGACCCGACGTGCCCCTCCGGCTCACGTTCATGAAGGTCCCGACGCTGATGTCCTTCGTGAAATCAGCACAAGTCCTGTCCGGCGCGTCCATCATGCCGCTGCCGCCCCTCACCGCCGCCGCCTCCTCCTCATCCTCCTCCTCGTCCCCGCCGCTGTCCGTCAGCTCCGTGAAGCGGATCTGCGTCCAGGCGCCCGAGTGGAGCTGCAGCCCGTAGAACCGGAGCTGCACGGAGCTCTCCTCGGTCACCTGGATGACACCGTCGTCATTGGTGCTGGCCGGCTTGTCGCTTCTCTCCAGCCGCATGCCGAGCACCTGGCTGCCGCCGCCGCTGCCCCTGCCGCCGGACCCCGCCGCCGCCGCCGCCGTGGCCGCCGTCTCTGTCCGGCCGCCGACGGCGCTCCACAGGCAGATGATGACGGTGAGAATGTAACCCTGCTGCCCGCTCCATTCTGTCGCCATGTTGTTTCTCTGCTCGGCGACCTGGGAGCTGACGTCATTTACTCATGTCCGAGCGGCTCCGCCCCCCCGCCCCCCACCGCCGCGCGCACACACCCCCCCGGTAACACCGCCTACCGGACAGCGGCAGGTAGGCCTGGTAAACAAACACACCCTCCTGCAGGACTCCCACCTGACAGCAGCTCAGAGATGCGACACTTCTGCAGCACCGGGGCTCAGAAATAAACAACAACAAACAGTAACTCTCAGAGAACGTTTAAAGTACATTCAGATAACGTTCGCGAAAAAATCAAGTTCTGCATGCAGTAACCCTCGGGGAACCTCTGGGGAACGTTCTTTGATGGTTATTATTTTTATTAAAGAGACTTAACATTCAGAGGACCTTCAGGAAACGTTCCCTTGGAGGTTCCATGAAGGTTACAGTTTGCTAGGTCGCCCCTTCTTATCTATTTATCCCCTCGACTCTCCCAAGGAAACCGTAACGTTCAGATAACGTTCCCTTAAGGTTTCCTGGAGGTTCCAGTGAGCTGGTCCTGCCCCTCGTTACTGACTCAGTGGACCGGGCCGCTGCTGCTGCTGCTGCTGCTGCCAGCGGTTTCTCATCCAATTGTATCCGGAGCCAGCTGCTGTTATGTAAAGGCACATGGCATCTGTGCACCCCCACCTCCTCCCACGTCCTCCCCCTCCTCCCCCATCACCCTCATCCTGCACCAGCCCGCATCCTGCTGGCACCGAGCCCGGCCCGGGATGCAGGATGCTGAGGCATTTTCTCCACAGACAGAGTCCCTGCTGCCCGGATTTACTCCGTCTGAACGACAGGAATAATGAGATAAGCTGGCTGTCTGTACAGGACGAATGCATGTTGTTTTAGTTAAACTGATTTATTAAAAATAGTCTCACGTTTGGAGTGTTTAGGTTTCACTTCATTTCTTTAAAATAAAGATGGCTTTCTGATAGTATGTCCACAGAGCTGTTTTTATTGTTTATTAGCCGTCTGTATTTATGATTAGCTCCTAATATTCACTGATCAGCTGTTATGTAACACAGCAAACAGTATTTCACATGTCCTCTCTAACAGTGACATCTGGTGGTCACAACGACTACATTCCTGCACAGGAGAGCATCAGTCAGTCAGCAGACACACAGCTGACAAACACACATGCAATGAATGGGAACAGCAGTCAGTCATAATCAGAGACAACAGACATGTACATGACGGCTGCATGTGAAAGGTGGCAAGACAAAAGTGTCTCTTTGTCATCATATTGTGTTTTTTTGTGGTCATTTTAGGTCACGTTGTGATGATCTGGTGCATTTTTGCCAAAATATGTGTCTGTTTAAGGCTTTTATGCATCTTTTGGTTCTCAATTTGTAACTGTGTGTGGTCATGATGTGTTTCTTTCTGGTCAATCTGTGTCATTTTTCAAAATATACCGTTATTTTGTGATCATTTTGCATCTTCTTGTGGTCATTCTATGTCTGCCTGTACACAAATGCACCTGAGAGCTAGTAGTATAAAATGCACTCCCAACAAAAAAACAACAACATTTTATAAATGCACAATTTCTGCTTTATTATGTACTTATTGATATACAAACTAAAGGTAATGGGAGAGTTTCCATAAATTGATAATAAATGATCATTGTTTCATTTACAACATGACTTCATAATGATGTTTAATGGTTTGAAGGATGTTTTTGGGGCACATCAAAAGTAATTATCAATCTCCTTCATTTCAAAACATTATAGAACATAATAACAAATGTCGTTATCATACAGCTGGAGCAGTTTGTCTACAATAATCAAACAGATCTCAACTTGATAAACAGCCTGAGACAGGAAGTCCTGACACAGTCGTTCATTAGTTTCTCACAGTAAAGATTCAATTATAAAAACATGGCAAAACATTCACAAAGTTGTCCTTCAACGTTAAATGATCAGCTTATAGAGTCAAATGTGGTTCTGGTTTGAAATGCACTCTGGTATTTGTGGTAATTTAATTAAATGCTAATTTGTTTGGTAACACTGTAGTACTCAGGACACAGCTATAGTACAGGTAGAGGAAACCTGAGGCCTTTGGCTACAAGTTTAAAAATGTCAGATGGCTTTCTTTGTGTTGAAAAGTGAATATAATCCCATAAATTAAAATTCCGTTTCAAATAATATCTATTACAACAGCACACCTGTTCAAATAGCGCTGATTGTGCTGAAAAAAGGGATCTCATCTTTCCATACTGTCATGTAGTAAACACTGATTGATGACTGAATGAACATTTCAGCCCGTTCACTTATTAATCAGGCGACCACAACCTAATTACCAAGTATAAACTAACACTAAGTGGGATAACTGGGGGGCTTAAAGAAGGTCAGTCCAGCCCTGATGCCACAGTGTAGATCTTGCTGTCAGTTCGGTGTCGTTTCAGATGTGGATGTCGTCACTGCAGCCTTGTGTCTCCTCCTCTGCTGCGTGGACTCTGCATCGGTTCGTCTGCAGGAGGAACAACCTCCACGTTGTAGCTCACCTTCTTGGACTGAAGGATGCTGTAGCTGTTGTCAAAACACAGCACGTCTGCACAAAGCAAAGGACACAGTTAACTGTCGAGGGAGAGGATTGACACCACCGACTGATTTAACGTCTGCCTGATACATATAAGGATTCATGTCAGGCTAAAGGTTGCAGGGGAAACACTGTTTTACAAATGAAATAAATAGTTTTTGAAGATTTGTTGCTCATTTAAACTAAGGAAGTTGATGAATTTAGTCTTAATTACACATGATTAAAGACAGTTCTGCCATTCTGCTAAGCTAGGCTACTTAGCATTTTGCCCCCATAACGTATCTGGTTTGACCTTTGTCTATATACACAATGATGTGATTCTGCTGCTGCATTATTTATGTAACATTTATGTATACAACAAACTACGTTACAAACACAACAAAAAGGAAAATTTGGCTAATGACACGGAACAGAAATATAAATGCAACACTTTTGTTTTTGCTCCCATTTTTCATGAGCTGAACTCAAAGATCTAAGACTTTTTCTATGCACACAAAAGGCCTATTTCTCTCAAATATTGTTCACAAATTTGTCTAAATCTGTGTTAGTGAGCACTTCTCTTTTGCTGAGATAATCCCTCCACCTCACAGGCGTCATATCAAGATGCTGATTAGAGAGCATGATCATTGCACAGGTGTGCCCTCGGCTGGCCACAATAAGAGGCCACTGCAAAATGTGCAGTTTTATCCACAGCACAATGCCACAGATGTCGCAAGTTTTGAGGGAGTGTGCAACTGGCACTGCAGGAATGTCCACCAGAGCTGTTTCCCATGAATTGAATGTTAATGTCTCTACCATAAGCCGTCTCCAAAGGCATCTCAGAGAATTTGACATTACATCCAATCACCCTCACAACCACAGACCACGTGTAACCACACCAGCCCAGGACCTCCAGCATCTTCACCTCCAAGATCGTCTGAGACCAGCAACCCAGACGGCTGCTGCAACAATCAGTTTGCACAACCAAAGAATTTCTGCACAAACGGTCAGAAATCGTCTCATCTAAAGCTCATCTGCATGCTCGTCGTCCTCATCAGAGTCTCGACGTGACTGCAGTCCGTCATCACAACCGACTTGAGTGGGCAAATGCTCACATTCGATGGCATCTGGCACTTTGGAGAGGTGTCCTCCTCACAGATAAATCCCAGTTTTCACTGTACAGGGCAGATGGCAGACAGCGTGTATGGCGCTGTGTGGGTGAGCGGTTTGGGTCAACGTTGTGAATCGAGTGGCCTATGGTGCCCATGGTGGCGTTGGGGTTATGGTATGGGCAGGCGTATGTTATGGACAACAAACACAGGTACAGTTTATTGATGGCACAGAGATACGGTGGCGAGATCCTGAGGCCCGTTGTTGTGCCGTTCATCCACGACCACCTTGCAGCTCATGTCACAACATACTACATATATTTAACTAATTACTTGTTCTACCCAGCTAGAAGATTCCCCACACCACTGTGTGATTGTGAAAAGACATTTCACCATTCTGAATGTATCTTTAAACCACTTGCTGACAATTTGCTTCTCTGTAATGTTTTAATCATGCTGCATTTACATTACTGATCCAGTGTGTTTTATTTTCCTCTCAGTCTTTTCATTCACATCTCCTCTCTGCTCTGTGGAAACACATCCTGCAGTTCAGCCAAAAACTCCTACATTTTTGTCACATAACTGATGGACATTTATTGTTTCTCAGTTGCACTGAGGAACATAAAATTGTTGTTTTTTCACAGAATCTGATGCAAACAGTTCATCTGTGATGTATTTTTAACAAAATGTAGAACAAAGCAATTTTGTGGAAATATTCCAATTTTACACTTAAATTTTGCTAATTTTCCTGAAGAACAGCCCATCACATGACTTGTGGGACTGTCGGAAAGATAAAAAACAACTATTCTCTCTGTTTTTACGGTTTCATCACTTGTGTGATTTGGGGGGTATTTTTTAAAGATAAAAGGCATTTTAAACCTGCCTTTTTCATTTCAAGTATTTACATTCTATAATTAGGTCTCTATATAACGCAGCCTGCCCTCCATAATCCGGCTCCAGTGACTTTAAAGCCCAACAGTGTGCACACACTCACAGACTCCCGGCTCGGGGCAGGTGAGGCAGCTGTCTTCAGGGACCAGGTGGGCGTTGTAGCGTTCACTGGGTAGAACCTGCTGCATCTCAGCCACCTTCTGACTGCTGCCCTCTTTGGTCCGCCGGTACACTCCAAACCCAATGTCTGCTCCATCACTGGCAAACTGCCACCTGGGAAGATGCAATGCCAGAAAGTTGTTGTTTTATATCTTGCAGGTGGCAGATTGTTAAATTATTAACATGTTAAAGGTGAATGTGTTCACCAGTCGACTGATGTCAGCATGCGAGGGATCAGTTCACTTACAGCTCCTGGTTGTCTGACTACATTTCATTGATGACATGAATCATAGCACATTTAAAAGCTCAAACTTTGTGGGACGTTTAGAGTGTTTCTGTCACTCTGCTGTTCTAACTTAAATTTAGCTGCCAAGTTACAGACATGTCTCAGTTTCCTCTCAGCAAAGTCAAAATTGTTTTCCAGGAGAATTTGGTGATTTTCATGATATTTTACTGCTTTTCTAAATGTACAAACTGGAAATCCGGTCAAAAAAATTTCAACTTTTCAAGGACACTCAAAAGCTAATCCTGTCACAAAATTAGATTTTTACTACATGACTATCGTAGCCAAATGATTTACAGTCAAAATATGAGTGCAAGGGGTGCTCCCATAGCCCAACTGGTTGAGCAGGTGACCCAAAAACTAGGTGCTGTAGTCCCAGATGCAGCGGCCATGGGTTTGAGTTCAACCCACGGCCATTTGCTGCATGTCCTTTCCCCACCCGCTCCACATTTCCTGTCTCTCTCGCTCCACCATCCTCCATAAAAAAGGCCCAAAAATTACTTTAAAAAAAATACGAGTACCCACAACGGTACTGTATGTGTGTGTTGTTAACATGACTTTAATATTTCATTTTATAAATGTCACAGTCATCGTCAATAACAGTACATTGCAATAAACCATAAAAACCTGTTTTCACGGTTTGTATTGTTTTTTCACCCTTTTTTAAAAATTTCCCATTAAACTAAATCAGTCACCTGTAAAAGCACCTAATGTCATAAAAGGTGCTGCACGAATACACATGAAAGAAAATATACTTTATATCTCTGTCTTATTGATCCTGTGGTTGCTTGTTTGCTTAATTGTGTGAATTCCTGACCTTGGTTTGCTTTAATGAATACTGACACGTATGTGCAGCATATGTGGGTCAGTATGACCACAGAGAGGTGGATTCATCAGGGATGAAGCCAGTTTCAGACACAGAACCAAAGAGAATCTGCTGTATTTATGGATTTCATGTTTTACAGCTGCGCTTGTGAGACCACCACTGATAAAACCCTGTTATTAAGTCTGTGTTTTAGGCCTCAGTCAGATCATAAACTCTCCGTGGAAACTCTGAGTAAAGTCGTTCTGTACCTCAGCAGGCTGCTGGCTGCAGTAACGTCGTACTCAAGCTGGAAGACGGAGCCACGACTGATGGTCACACTGCTGTCGTACTGAACCTTCACTGAGTCCTGCACGTAGTACGACCGGGGAACTGTGCCGCCGTAATTTATCTGTAATCATAGCACACCCGAACAGCCGTCATTTCAGCCACCACATCACAGGACAGCAGCACAGTCCTCGGTGGGTCTGCTCTCACCATGGTGATGCAGCGAGGGTCTCCGTCAGGGTCCCTCAGGTTTCCTCCGTACACCACAGGGAGCTGCTCCGGGTCGATGTGTTTACGCAGAACCTCCTGCCAGTTACCTGCAAACACATGACGGTCCCTTAGAACTTAGTGGAAATGTACTCAGATACTTACTCGAGTGTTATTTTCTTTTCAAGATATTTTTACTGCATTGATTTCACAGCTTTAGTAACATTCTTGTGTACAAAACATATGCAAAGTGCAAAACTATGCTTTGCTATAAACAGTAATCTTGATCGAGAGTGAGGAAGTGCTGCTTCAGTAATTTAATTTGTGTGAATTTATTTGTAATAATTCTGAGGCTCCTACTGTTGTTCTAAACACAAAAAAGCATTGTGAAGAAGTCTTTTTAGGCTTTTGGTAAATGTGATGGCATTTCTTACCATTGTCTAAAATTTTACAACCAAAAAATATCCCCAAAAAATTAATGAAAAGATAATAACCAGATGAATCCGTAGTTGTAATCATAAATAAAATATTTTAAATTTAGCTACACTGTGACCAACAACATCAGTAAAACTCTGCTTTTAAATATAAAGGCATTCGTAATAAATCTGTCATTAATATTACAGTCATGACTCCATAATCCAACCCTTAACAATCCTAAACCTTGCTATCTGACAGGTTTTTAGGAAAAACAAATGGAACCCAACGATGGAGCATGTCTTGCCCTCCACTCCCCCACTGCCGCCACTGATGGTGGAAACAGAACCTGCATCAGCAGCAAAGTACTGCCTGTGTGTTCCGGCCACTTCCACCCCGTCGGAGCACACCACCAGGGTGGAAGGGGTGGAACGTGTACAAATGCACCAGTCAGTTAGGTGTGAAATCCAGCGATGCGTAGTGTTCTAACAATACACTAGTTATTATAACAACTATGAACAATAATTAACAACAAGTTACCCTTCAAGCATCAAGTCCTTCTTGTATCTCGACCTCCATCTTGACAATCTGACAGCCTTGCTATCCGACATAAAAAAAGGTTTTACATTTAGTGTCGGATTATCAAGTCATGACTGTATTACTATTATAAATAACGATGTATCATGTTTATCTTATTAACCACGTTTATCACGTTTATCTACTTTTAACACTTTAAGTACATTTTCTTGATTTCTTTTCTTTCAAAGAACATCTAATGAGTGTTTTTTTCAGTGTGCTGTTTATACTTTCACTGTAATGAAAAAAAAAAGTCTGGTCAGATCACTACATTACAATACGTTTTATATGTACATTGCTAAATATATTTTTGGCAAGTAGTATTATAAACCATTGGATAACTAAAAATATGTAATCCAATGTGAATACTTTTGGATTACTTTTGTCACAAGTAAGCCAGTCACTGCGTCACAGGTGCACAGGTAGAACAGCATATTTAGTTTTTTTACAGAATCTAGATCTTGATCGTGTTTTTTGGCAAATTTAAAAGATAAAACATGTAGAATAAAGTGATTTTAATGAAACATCTGGATTTTAAGATGAGATTGTTTTTAATTTACCCAACACAGCACGTCATAGATGAGTCATTCAAGGACCATCAGAAAGTTGAAAATCCACCAATTCTTTCTGTTTTTATAGTTTCTGGCTCTGAAAAAAAATGCATGACTGGTGTTTTTTCAAAGCTGACATGGCTTTCAACCCACCAGCAGATTTTGGCATTCAGAGAGTTTAAAAACAAAACAGCATGTTAGCATGTTGATGTTTGCGTGCAGTTCAAGTGAAGTCTGAAAAAATACTGAGGGAAAGTCAGAAAAGTGGCCTTACTTCCTAAAACGATGATCTTGCGTCGTGTTTCCTCACACAGAAAGTGTTTGATCAGGTTGTAGGCCATAGGAAACATTTTAGGAGCTGCAGCAGAGACACAAAATCATCAGCACAACATTGCCAGTACAATCTGGACATCAGACAGACACACAGCTTGGTACAGATGTGCTGAGGTACCTTTGATGAGGAACACCCTCTTCAGCCCCTCAGGATAGTTGTCCTCAAACATGGTGAGGATCTACAGGACAGATACAGATGTTTTACGTGCATCAGTGGACAGATGTGACAGATGTGTGACAACATGACAAACCTCTCCGTAGGCCTCAATAGCAGGTTTCCAAATGTGCTTCAGTCCGAGTCCTTCACAGTCGTAGATCAGAGAAATGGCTTCAATGTTGGTCCCCAACTGAGAGAGAGGGGAAGGAACTTTAGAGGAGATGAGGAGGAGACCAAGAGAAGAAAACCAGTAGGCATGAAAGAGGAGACAAGAGAGGAGAGGAGACGAGGAGACGAAACAAGAGGAAATGGGAGCATAATAGGATGAAAACATGAGGAGTGTGAACGCAGAATTCAGAGTGGGCCTCCTGACTGACCTTCTCCGACTGCCTCCTGCATTCCCTCTGCATCATCTCTGTGTCTCTAATCTTGGTCTTTATAAAGTCCTGTTTGGTCGCCGACAGCAGCAGACCTTTAGGATCCAGAGGACCGATCACATCGTACCAGATGGGACTTCCCTCCCGGTCGTAGCCGCACATACCCCCAGACACGTACTTCTCAATCACCTGAGTGACGCATGAAAGAGAAGAAGAAGAAGAAACTGCTGCCATTAACATCACAATGCAGGAACTGAACTTGAAGCATTTACCAGACAGCAGGTTACCTCTGGAGGCTTCCAATCAGATATGATGGAGTCCACTTTCATCTGTCTCCTGAACTCCACGTGCTGCAGAGACACAGAGGAGGACCAAACTAATCTTTGTTTTTGTGGGAATAATGGATGCAAATAAAGATGCAGTTGTTCTGTGAGGTGCCACAGGTCAGAGAGCTTCAGGTGCACTCAGATGTTGTGTTCTACATTATGTTCTCTGGTTTTTATGCAAAATCAGAAAAATAAATCGTAATTATAGTTGTTAAATAAATGCAATGTGTAAATAAACATCAATATTTATCCTTTGAAATGTTGTGCTGGAAAAGTGTAAAGTAGCATCAAATGGAAAAACTAAAGTGAAGCGACAAACAAAGTTCTTACCTTTCTGATCATGGCCTCAGCTTTCTGAACATTGAAGCTACGAGCTGCAAAAATAAAAAATACTTCATATTAGATGGACAGAAGATGTTTTCATTATGGAAAATTAAAACATTTATTTAGACCTAAAATGTGGGAAATTTTCACCTTAAGTCAGGTATGTACAAGGGAAAATCTAAAGCATCCATTTTGTTAGAGGTAAAAATTCAGTTATTACACCTTGAAATACTAAAAGCCTTCAACCCTGTGAGCTCTGTCGTTCTATTTTCTTCACCATTAAGCGCTTATACTTGGTCACTATAAAGACTGTTTTTTCGGAACAGTCCAGACTAAGTAGGTCTTCCATTATTAGATAAAATAATACTTGGAGCGCTTTAATATCAAAAATGGGATATTTGTTGTGCAGAGAAATCTCCGATATGACTGTTATACTGTTATATAATTAGATCATTGTTAGTGATGTAATAATGCAAAGGTAGGATTTTTTTTGAACTATTTTGTATCCAACTGCAACTCATGCTTGATTTCAATATGGATTAATCTGCTAATTCTTTTCTCTGTTATTCAATTGATTGCTCAGTTTGTACAAGTACAGAAAATAGCAAGAATGACTGTTGAAATGGTTGCCAATTTTCGGTCAGTTGATAAACTGCTGGGTACACTGTAAAAAAAAAAAAAAAGTTCGAAAAAAATAGATTCAAGATTCAAGATTCAAGGCCTTTATTGGTCACAAACACAGTTGTACATGGTATAACGCACAGTGAAATGCTTTGCCTACCTGTTCCACACTGAAACAATATTAAGATGAATACAAATGAAGAATAAAACACACAAGAAATATATATACACACACATATATATATATATACATAGAGAGAGAGAGAGAGATGAAAAATAAGCAAAATTAATAAATCAAATTTTCAAACAATCCAAGAGGAGATGGAATAAATAAAGAAAATAATAGTACTATATACATGTATATATACAAAGTGCAAAGTGACCAGTTGGATTGTTATTGAGTCTATTGTTTCAGGTTCAGCAGGCGGACAGCCTGAGGGAAGAAACTCCTCCTCAGCCTCTCTGTGTTTGACTTCAGGCAGCGGTAACACCACTCTGACGGCAGCAGGAGAACAGTCTTTGGCTGGGTGGGTGGGTTCACTCGCAATCTTCCTGGCCTTTATCCTTCATCGTTTGGTGTAAATGTCCTGCATGTTGGGGAGGGTGGTTCTGATGGTGCGCTCAGCCGAGCGGACCACCCTCCTCAGGGCCAAGAAGTCCTGCTGGGTGCTGCTGCCCATCCAGATGGTGATGCTCCCAGCCAGAACACGCTCAGTGGTGCAGGTGTAAAAGTTCTTGAGCACCTTGAGAGGGAGCTTAAAGTCGCTCAGGCATCGGAGGAAGTAAAGACGCTGTGGAGCCTTCGTCACCAGGGTGTTGATGTGGCAGGACCACGTCAGGTCCTGTGTGATGTTAACACCCAGGTATTTGAAGCTCTCCCCTCTCTCCACATCTGTCCCGCTGATCCTGAGTGGGTGGTATGCCCTCTGCTGCTTCTTGCTGTAATCCACAATCAGCTCTTTGGTCTTGCTGACGTTCAGGAGGAGGCTGATTCTCTAGGTCGGTGATCTCCATCAAATAGTCCTCTTCGTTGTTGATGGAGATCAGACCCACCACTGCTGTGTCATCAGCAAACTTAATGATGGTGTTAGAGTCTGATGTGGACAGACAGTCATTAGTGTACAATGAGTCCAGCAGAGGGCTCAGCACACAGCCCTGGGGGGCACCAATGTTCAGAGTATGTGACGGGGACAGGTGATCCCCCACTCGAACCACCTGTGGTCTGCTGGTCAAAAAGCTGTAGACCCACCTGCACAGGGAGGAGGTGAGCCCGAGGTCCTGCAGCTTAGTGACTAGTCTGGAGGGGATTATGGTGCTGAACGCTGAATTGAAGTCCACAAACAGCATTCTCACATACTGTCATTTTGATGTGGACATTATTTTATGTTTTGGCCTGGTTTCTTTTTTTTGAGTAAATGTATGAACATATACTTTTTTTTGTGTGATTTTGCTTTACATTATATGTAATTTACCACAACAGGAAAAATGTGTAAAATTACAATTAACCTTTTCATATAATAATAGACAAAAATAATGTGATTTTTGCTGAATGTAATACAGTTGTTTTTTGTTTTTGGGGGGTTTTGTAAAGTGTCAGTTTAGTTTAATTTTTTATAAAAATTCTGATTGTTGTTGTGGACACGATTTACAGTTGTGGCCTGTTTTTTTAGTTGTTTAAATGCAAAAAATAAAAAAATGTCTTTTTTGTGTTTTTACTAGTTATTATCTGTAATTCAACAAAGCTGGGAAAGTCAGTAGAATTACAATAACTTGTTAAGATAAAATAAATAGTTAAAAAAAATATATTCTTAAAACTGTTAAAAACTTTCATTTTTTTACAGTGTAGTTTAATCTAGAACAAACATCACTTTTTTTCTGTCTGTTTTCAGCCGAACAAAGGAACTGATCCAGGTCAAGAGTCAGTGCAAACAATCCCAGAGTCGCCATCGATCTGAGCCTCTCTGATCTGTGGACCATTACACAAACCAGCCCACTGAAGTACAATTTGTAAATATTTTGTGTAAATGTTCTACCTTATGCTGTTTTGTAATCCTCTTCCACTGTGTTCTGTTGGCCAATATTGTAGTTTGTATTCCACTACATTTATTGTAAAGCTTTACCTGCCGGTTATTTTGCAGATTTAGATTCATTTGTTTCTGTCTCTGCCTTTGTTAAGCGCTATGAGATGACTTGTTGTTGTAAATATGTGCTATACAAATAAAATTGAATTGAATTGAATTGAATTGAATCGGTATAAATTTGGCGACATGTAGTATATAAAGTTATCAACGTTAGCTCTAGCTGCAACATAAAGTATTGTACACATCAATGAATCAATATCTATAATCCAGTGATCTAATACACATGATTCTGAAATGGGCCGTTCTGTCTCTGCCCTCAAGTTGCTCTTACAGTAGATTTAAGAGACCCAGTAAGAAAACTGTAAAAATGAAGGCAAAGTTCAGACACCTTCTTTAAAAATCTCTTTTGTAGTCTTTTATCGTGACTTATTTGTACAGGTATCTGTTTGTTAACACAACATTTGAACTTGCATCTCTACATTTCTACACTAACTCTTGAACAAATCTTGAACAAAGCTGTGCAGCTTTACTGGAGTCACATTTTTCAGAGTGGAAAGCAAACATTTACTGTAGGATACAGGACCAGGTCGAGCCAGTTAAAATCATCCTGAGTAAACACTCAATGCTCTCCTGTCAAGGGCATGGAGTCAGCAGGGAACGTTCCAGGAACAAAATCATTGATTAACCAACAGACAAGTTAAGATTTCACTTGGCTAAACAAACAATTTGGCGAAACACNCACCGGGACGCGAGCCAGCAACCTTCTTGCTGCGAGGCAACAGTGCTACCAACTGCGCTACCCTGCAGCCCGGAGATGGAATAAATAAAGAAAAAAATAATACTATATACATGTATATATACAAAGTGCAACGTGACCAGTTGGATTCTTATTGAGTCTATTGTTTCCGGTTCAGCAGGCAGACAGCCTGAGGGAAGAAGCTCCTCCTCATCCTCTCTGTGTTTAACTTCAGGCAGCAGTAACGCCGCTCTGACGGCAGCAGAGACAACAGTCTGTGGCTGGGTAGGTAGGTTAACTCACAATCTTCCTGCCTTTGACCTGCATCGTTTGGTGTAAATGTCCTGCATGTTGGGGAGGGTGGTTCCGATGGTGCGCTCAGCCAAACGGACCACCTCCTCAGGGCCAAGAAGTCCTGCTGGGTGCTGCTGCCCATCCAGGTGGTGATGCTTCCAGCCAGAACACGCTCAATGGTGCAGGTGTAAAAGTTCCTGAGCACCTTGAGAGGGCACTTAAAGTCCCCCAGTCGTCGGAGGAAGTGGAGACGCTGTCGAGCCTTCTTCATCAGGATGCTGATGTGACAGGACCACGTCAGGTCCTGCGTGATGTTAACACCCAGGTACTTGAAGCTCTCCACTCGCTGCACCTCTGTCCCGCTGATCCTGAGTGGGTGGTATGCCCTCTGCTGCTTCTTGCTGTAATCCACAATCAGCTCTTTGGTCTTGCTGATGTTCAGGAGGAGGCTGTTGTCTCTGTACCAGTCCTCCAGGAGGGTGATCTCCATTGCATAGTCCTCCTCGTTGTTGTTGGAGATCAGACCCACCACTGCTGTGTCGTCAGCAAACTTAATGATGGTGTTACAGTCTGATGTGGACAGGCAGTCATTAGTGTACAGTGAGTACAGCAGTGGGCTCAGCACACAGCCCTGGGGGGCATCGATGTTCAGGGTGTGGGAGGGGGACAGGTGGTTCCCCACTCGAACCACCTGTGGTCTGCTGGTCAAAAAGCTGTAGAGCCACCTGCACAGGGAGGAGGTGAGCCCAAGGTCCTGCAGCTTAGTGACCAGTCTGCAGGGGATTATGGTGTTGAACGCTGAACTGAAGTCAACGAACAGCATTCTCACATACTGTCACTTTGATGTGGACATTATTTTGTTTTGGCCTGCTTTCTTTTTTGTGAGTAAATGTCTGAACATATACTTTTTTGTGTGATTTTGCTTTACATTATATGTGATTTACCACAACAGGAAAAATTTGCAAAATTACAATTAACTGTTTCATATAATAATTTTGCTGAATGTAATACAGTTGTTTTTTGTTTTTGGGGGGTTTTGTAAAGTGTCAGTTTAGTTTAAAAAAAAAAAACAACTATTCATAAAAATTCTGATTGTTGATGTGGACACGATTTACAGTTGTGGCCTGTTTTTTTAGTTGTTTAAATGCAAAAAATAAAAACATGTCTTTTTTGTGTTTTTACTAGTTATTATCT